ACTCCAAGGTCCCTTCCAACATTATTATTATTATTATTATTATTATTATTATTATTATTATTATTATTATTATTATTATTATTATTATTATTATTATTATTATTACTACTACTACTACTACTACTACTACTACTACTACTACTACTACTACTACTACTTTGTTGAGGGGAAAGGGCCTCATTGGTAAGTTAAACATCCTGGTGGGCTGCAAATACCGGAAGTGCTGTTCAGCTGTTCCACAGCTAGTGGAGTGACCGAAGTGCTGAAGTGGCTCTAAATTTATCACTTTTTTTAAAAAAAACTGGTGGGCCATACAACACATCTACTTTTGGAGGAGAGGCAAATAGAAATTCCACATGGATCTGACCTATTTTTTGTTGTTGTTGTTGTTGTTGGAATGTAGGTGGGGGCATTACCGATGTCTCCGATCATTACACTCGCAGTAACAGCAGTGAAAGTCCAGACTTTATGACTCCCAAGGCTACAAGTGATCTGGCTGTGCGGCGAGCTCGACACCGGCTACTTTCAGGAGATTCCGGGGAAAAGCGGACCTCACCGCGGCCTGTCAATAAAGTGATCAAGTCCGCATCAGCTACTGCCCTCTCCCTCTTGATCCCTTCAGGTAACCTATCTGTTTCACGACTTAAAAAAAAAAATCAAAACAAAATAGACTACAGCTAAATGTGACAATAACCACTACTTTACATCTTTTTCTGGGTTTGTCAGGAACCACAATATTCTACCTATGCAAATATAATATTTTGCCATGGATAGGCTTGTGCTGTCGTGTAATAAGGAGTGGGATTTCACTGTGATTGTTTTATTATAGCTATGATTAGTACATTGCAACTTTTAAATCTAACTTGTTTTGATAAATCATTTCATAAACGATTTATCAAATAATTTGTGAAATCATACACAATAAGTCATAAACGATATGCCATTGATGATTTTACAAATTATTTTATAAATCTTTTCCAAGGATCGTGAAGTTCATACTAGCCACTTATGTAGTACTATGTTGACATTGCCAATAGATATGTCTTCCTGCTGGGTGCCAATAAAATTACCAGTACTGGCTCCACTCTAGTCCCTAAGGAAAGATGATACCATCTAAGAAAGCCCTATTATGAACTCCAAAAGGCTGGATTTTATTTAATAATAATAACAATAATAATAATAATAATAATAATAATTATTATTATTATTATTATTATTATTATTATTATTATTATTATTATTATTATTATTATTATTATTATTATTATTATTATTATTATTATTATTATTATTAGAGAAAGTCATAGAAAATGATAAAGTTAAACTGCTCTGGGACTTAAGAATTCAAACAGACAAACACCTGCAACATAACACCCCGGACTTAACAATTGTCGATAAGAAAGACAAAAAAGTCTGGATAGTGGACATGGCAGTGCCTGGAGACAGCAGAATAGACGAGAAAGAACTGGAGAAGATAACAAAATACAAAGACCTACAAATAGAAATAGAAAGACTGTGGCAAAAGCAAGCAAGAGTAGTACCAATAGTAATAGGCGCCTTGGGTGCAATCCCAAAACAACTGGAGCACCACTTGAACACCATTGGCATTGACAAATTCGCCATTAGTCAATTGCAAAAGGCAGCCTTACTAGGAACTGCCTCCATCCTGCGACGATATCTGTAATAACATCAAACATCCACATCTGCCTATCCCAGGTCCTTGGTAAGGACTCGATAGGTAGACAAAATGCCAAATCCAGTTTGAACATCTGGCTGACTGTGCAATGATCAACAACAACAACAACAATAGTAATAATAATAATAATAATTCAGAATTACCTCCCCAAAAGATCTCAAGGCTGTCTGCAGAGTGGTATTCTTTTTCATTAAGCAATAAGATATTTAAAGCTACAGTATTTATGACTTCATATATCAAAAGCTAATGTGTTTAATTTGGCTGACCAGGTAGATAACTGGCGTAGCTCATTAATGGTAGATATTTGGGTTCTCAGCCTCCTCATAATTCCACCTTATACCAGCAACCTCCTTTGGTTAAAGACAGCCCAGCAATGCATTATTCAACACTAATTTAATTGCAAAATTATCAAAGCATTTCTCTAGAAAGGCTATCCCCTTTTCAAAACAGCCTTAGCTAAAGAACAAGCTAGAAAGGAAAATAGCAATTCTGCCCTATTATACTCAATTGATAAAATAGACTAGGAGCACCACCAGATTATATATATGTGCTTTTAGAAGTAGGATGATCCTATCCAGAATAAGCTGGTCTCTAATTCCTGAACATAGGAGTCACCAATCCGTTTTATACTGATTAAGCTTCAATTTAATATTTCTCATCCAATCCATAATTGTTTTCAAAAACTTTATATTTTCTCAATTTATTAATTATATCCTTCCTGAACCCACCCACCTCCCAATTTGGCAGCCAGTATATGATCTCTGTAGGACATGACAAGACAGCTATCCAGGGACCAAGCTGAACTCCTCATCATTCACAGAAATTGGTCCTGGAACTAGCAGCCACAGTATTGCCTTGCTTTTAGCTTCCAATTCACTGAATTGCCACAGTATCCAATAAAGAATGCTATCAAGAAATTGAGTGGGTAAGATGCTGGATTAGGAGCAGGAAGTCCTGAGTTCTGTTTTAAAATGTGTCTTGTGTATTTACTTTGTGTCTGAACAAAGATCTTTTATGTAGGTGCTAGTTTATAAAACATAGCATCTTGTCCAATAATTTATAGAACTAAATTTTGAATATTGCACTGTACCATTGCAATATTGTAATTTAGTTTGGGGGTAGAAGCAGAAACAGAATATATGCCACATCACTTAATTGTTTGCTTTTAAAAGTTAGGAAAATGTTTTATCCAATCTGCAGTTCAGTTTCATTTTCTCTCCTATAGCTTCTTTGTGAATATATGTTTATGGTTCATGACAGACTAAAAGCTGATGTATTTTAATAATTCCTTAAAATTTGAATAAGGAATTCATAGTTTAATTTTTTTTATTTTTGAGCACATATTTACAAGTGAATTGCACTAGGTATAATCAAATAGCAAGTTGTCGTTTTCCTGATGCTATTATAATAGCATCTTTTTCCACAATGAGGAAGAAAAATAAAATGCAGCTTTCCGGGTTCTGCAATCAAAAAAGCTTAATTCCCCCTTGATACATTAATGCGAGTTTTATTTTCCTTTGAAAACTAGGTTTTCTAATTTGGAAGCATTTTCTATGTTCATGTAGAACACCATACCTGTTCGCCATTGGCTAGTCCAATGTCACCTCATTCTCTCTCCTCCAACCCATCTTCAAGAGACTCATCTCCAAGCCGAGACTATTCTCCTGCTGTTATGAATCCCAAACCACCAATCATCATCCATCGAGCTGGGAAGAATTATGGTTTTTCACTTCGTGCAATTAGAGTCTACATGGGGAACAGTGATATCTATTCAGTGCACCACATAGTCTGGGTATGCTTGGACTTATTGGATTTTTATGTCATGATATACAGTCATTTAGTAAGAGCCTACTTTGAAAATTAGAGCAATGTGCAGTACCTTTAACTTAATAAAAAATCCTGCTTATAACTAAGCAGTCTTTTCCAGAATTACCTCTAGAATGATGACTTCCTTTGTAAAAGAAAATATATGTAGTTGATGCATAGAAATAGCAAAGTTGAAATGTGTAGGTTAATTACATTTAATTCCTTCTGAGTTGTCTTGACAGTGGCTGTCTGTTTCAGATCTCTTTATCCTTAGGCTTTTGTTTACACATCTGCAACTAAATTTCATTTTTAATGTGTGCCATTGTGCCCACAGTAAAAAATGACAATAAAGGAAGGTTGTCTGTCTGTCTGTCTGTCTGTCTGTCTGTCTGTCTGTCTGTCTGTCTGTCTGTCTGTCTGTCTGTCTGTCTGTCTGTCTGTCTGTCTAAAAGTATTACTGTCTTCTCAGTTAATTGATCAGGATTTCGAGTTTAGTTCAGCTCTGTGTTATAATTTATCTTGCATTGTTTATTTTCTTTATGAATATATGGTTATTTGCCTGGACTATTTCTCATAATGAATATTGTCTGTTATGCCATTTCCACAATTGAAGAGAAGCAAATTATGTCCCAAGTTCCCTATAGACATTACTCAGGGTTTATTTAAGTAGAAAATGATCTTTGAAGCTAATTAGCAGCAATATAATCATAATAGAAAATAGAATAGTTCAGTAAATTGATTTCTGCCCCTTATTTGTTATGACCTTGACAAAAATTGCATTATGCAAAGATATGGCTGCCAATAAATGTAAGCCCCATGTAACAAACAGAACTACTGTATCTTATTTGTTATTTTTATATATAATTTTCTTAAGAATTTTTTTTATTATAATAGTAAAATCAAATATAAACTAAACGAAAGAAAATGAAAAAAGGAATAGAAGAGAGAGAAAAGTGAGAACATAACACAGTTGTCAGCTTCACTTTTGCAGAGCTGTCTTCAGGTCATCGTACTATATCTGGAAATCAAAACTATCTTATTTGTCATCGTTGTATTTAATTGTTTAGCCATGTTGATTCTGAAATTTCTATACTACTAACACAAGAGAATTCTTGAACATTAATAGGATAAACTAACTCACTAACAGTAGCACACTATTTGCATGTGAAATGCCCTAAATACAATCAGAGGTGTAGTTAATGTATGGAATTGAAATGTGCTTTAATATAAATAGATGATTAATGTATTGCTGTTATTATTTAGCTTTGTTCTCTGTCATTACAGCATGTAGAAGAAGGTGGTCCAGCAAGTGAGGCTGGTCTAAGGGAAGGAGACTTGATAACTCATGTGAATGGAGAGCCTGTACATGGATTGGTTCATACAGAAGTGGTAGAATTGGTCCTGAAGGTAAAGATTGAAAATTGATGCCTGCTGTACAACAGGAGTGATGTGTGTCAGCTCAAATATTTAGTAAAAAAGTGTTTCCAATAACTTCAAAGTATTTAAAACGGTTTTTCCATAGGAGGATCAGGTTACCCAGAATACCTTTTCTTACCTGATGTTGCAGTTGCAGATTATTGCTGTTTTTGTGACCTCCAGAATGATTAGTGTAATGTATATGTTTGCTCTTTGAAGAAGATTTAGAAATTGCAATAAAAAACCAGTTGCTAGATTGCTAACTGAAATATGATGATATATTATTCCAAGGCTTGATGAGGGGACCACCTCTTACCATTTCTAGATATTTAGTGATTCAAAGCCATGAAAAGCTTTTTGTTCCTGAAAATCTAGAAGTGCTGGGAGCTAGTACAGTTCATCAAGCCTTGTCATAGTATAAGTATATATGACTGTATATACAGGGAGTTTTTTAATGGATATATGAGTACCTCCACTTCTTCATAAAGATATTCTGATTATGAAACGTTCTCAGTCATCCTTGGACCTATCAAGGAAGCATTTTCAGTGCCAAGCAATGACTTAATTTTCCAAGAGCTTTTAAATCTGGGGTTTCAGGTGGCAGCCCCAAACCAATTTTGTCTGTACCATGCAGCTAAGCAGGATCAGTGCTGATTATTACTTGCATAGATTAGAAGATCAAACCACCAAGAAATGCCGGGCTTGGCTTCAGATTAGTCTGAAAAATTTGGAAACAAAGGGCCATGAGAAAATGGCAGTGGCTGGTTAATACATATTTTTAGCAAGAAAATTAGAAAGATGGAGTCACTAGGAGACAAGCATGACTTGAGGGCATATTTAACTCATTTATTTAAAGTTCTTGGGTATTTTCAAGATGTTACTGATTTTCTTGTATGGGATTTCAAGTGTTGTTTAAGTAGAAGGGTAAAAGTATTGCTAAACAAGTAGTCTATTTAAGGGAGAGCCAGTTTAGTGTAGTAGTTAAAGCGTCAGGCTAGAAATTGGGAGACTGTAAATTCTAATCCCACCTTAGGCACAAAGCCAATTGGGTGACCTTGGGCTAGTTATGTTCTAGTCTTCAAATAATATTCTTTTCTGGGAAAATGTTTATTCATTTACAAATAATAGGAAATAATAATGGCCAGTTAATAGCAGTTTAGAATGTTTTATGGAATATATCCTGTTGAATAATGCCCATTGATAAGTAAACCCATGATTTCTTCATGGGTTATGGTGTTCATTTAATAAACAGAACACCTGCAAGGGAATTACTTTGAGGCAGGTGCATTTTGGCCAGTTGCCTTGTCTAGATACTTGCTTTGGAAGTAGTTGAAACAGGTATTTTGAATCTTGTTCTACGATAGTTTGTGATTCTTCAGTTCTTTTGAAGAAGGAAGAAATCCAAAGATGAAAACAGGAGGTTGTATTAAAGTTAGGCATGCTGCTTGATAGAATTTCTGGTGGTACTTGACTTGATTATCTTTTGTGTACACTCCAAAGTTTATATTGGATTAATAACATTTTACATTCACAATCTCTTCAGCTGTCATTCAGTTAGAAAAACCATTGTTTAATCAGTGAGAAAAGTCTGAGTCAAGAAATCCCTCTAGTAGCACTTGCTAAACACAAAATATATTTTGAAAGGAAAAGACCAGATCAAAGGAATTTAAGTCATCCAGTTACAAGCTGATACATTCCCTTGGTATCATGTCTGGTTGTACCAAATCATATGAAGAAATGCATTTTAAAAATTAGAACCTGTGGTTTTCTTTCTACCAGAGTGGAAATAAAGTGTCCATATCCACTACCCCTTTTGAGAACACATCGATCAAATTGGGGCCAGCTCGGAAGGCCAGTTATAAATCAAAAATGGCTAGAAGAAACAAGAAAAGCAAAACAAAAGACGGGCAGGAAAGGTTAGTAAAATTGAAGCCATTCATAATAATAATAATTGTCAGTATGGGTAAATGAATGTCACAAGTTATTTTAATGTTACAAAAGTTACATAATATCAAGAATGGATTATATCCAGAGGTCCTCGAACTGTAGTTGAATGTTAACGTGCTTTCATTTTCTACTCAGTTTCTTATTATTGATGATATTTTATTAAAAATAACTCTTGTTTACAACTATATAAATAGCAAACTAATGTCCCCTTATGGATCTCATATGGCTGCTTCTCTTGCTAGTGATTACCTTTATTTTTTTATTTTTCCAGTAAGAAGAAGAGTTCATTATTCAGGAAAATTACCAAGCAGGCCTCCCTGCTTCACACAAGTAGAAGTTTATCTTCCCTCAACCGTTCCCTGTCATCTGGGGAAAGTGTTCCTGGCTCACCTACACACAATCTCTCTCCTCGTTCTCCAACACAGGGCTACCGATCTACTCCTGAGCCTGCACATTTAGGTAAAAAAAGGAACAGAAGGTGGAAGACTTGAATCAAATACTTTCAACTTAATGTGTTTTCTAAAACTGGAAGGTAGAGGGAGAATAAACCATCCAAATTCTCGTTTTTAAGGAAGAAATGAACAAATTTGACAGCTGCAAGCCAATTGACCATTCTTGGTGGGATCTTTAAGATACCAGGAAAACATAGCCCAAGCAACTAGGTGAGGCTGGTTGCCAGGTGCAGGAAGGATGCTCCAAGGAATTTATTAGTGTGAGATATTCAAGAAGCATAAAATGTTACATATCATGAGATACTATTTAGGGTGATTTTTGCAACTTTTAATTGCTATACTGTTTTTTGCTATACTGTACTTTTAATTGCTATACTGTCTTTTTACTTTTTTAAATACCCTATTCATGTTTTATATAAATACTATCAATATAACTTCCTCAGTATGAGAGTGAGTGAATGCATTAACAGTTAAAATTACAATATGTACCTGAATAAATAATTCTACAAATGAGCTTCCTGGAGGAAAAGTCCTTTTGTACCCCAAAGGTTAGGATATACTGTGGAGTTTATAACAAACATAAATAAGCAGAAGAGCTATAATATGCAGCTGCCAATGAGTATATTTCTCAAAGAGTATATTTAGTATGAGAAAAAAGAGAGACCTCCAAAAGACTGCCAATAAAATAATACTGAAGTACAGTGCATTTGTGAGGGATAAAGTATGGTTGATTGCACTTTATTGTTTTGACTGCATTAGTCTTCATTTTCTAAATTCAGCCTCACAGTGCTTGTGATTTACCATTCTCCTATTTTGATATTCACAGTTGGTGGAAATTCTTCTCAGAGCAGTTCGCCTGGTTCCAGTGTTCCCAATTCTCCAGCTAGTTCAGGGCATATCAGGCCCAGTTCATTACATGGACTAGCACCAAAACTTCAACGACAATATCGATCTCCAAGACGTAAATCAGCTGGAAACATTCCTCTTTCACCACTAGCTCATACGCCTTCACCCACTCCACAATCTACATCACCTCAGCGTTCCCCTTCGCCTTTGCCAGGGCACTCAATTGGCAGTTCAAGCATCATGCAGTCTTTCCCTGTAAAGTTACATTCCTCCCCGCCTCTGGCCCGGCAGATTTCACGGCCGAAGAGCGCTGAACCATCAAGATCACCACTCCTGAAAAGAGTCCAGTCAGCTGAGAAACTGACCTCTTCCCTGTCTTCCTCAGAAAAAAAGCTGCCCTCTACACGTAAGCATAGCTTGGATATTTCCCATTCTGAATTCAAAAAGGACATGCTTCAGAGAGATCCGGGTCTCCAAAGTTGGCAGGAATCAATAAATGAAACATCTGGAGGTAAAGCTGGGCCAGCAGAAAAAGGGACACTCCAAAAACCTTCTTCCCGAAAACTTGGGGCCATTCGACAAGATAGGGTAGAAAGAAGAGAATCTCTACAGAAGCAGGACGCCATTACAGAAGTAGATTCTTCTGAAGATGAAACTGATGAAGGGTCAGAAGATAGTCAAGACGGGAAAAGATTGGACAGGCCACCCTTCATTAGAGAACACCAATTTTGTAATCCTTTTACTGAGGAGATGAAGCCTTGTTCCAGATTAGAAAGCAAAGATAGCATGGAAGATGATGCTTTTCTTCTGGAGGAACCAAAAATGGACAATGTGCAGAGTGAGATAAATCAACCACAACAAAAAGATGTGGAAAGGGCATTGGTGACTGACATAAATGAGTCCCTGTCTGAAATTTGTGCAATAGCTTCCTTTACAGGAAAACCTGAGGATTGTGAACCAATACAGTTAATATCAGAATGCAAGACAGCCTCAGAATCAATACAAGGTAAGAAAGTTGTTGTTCAACAGGACACCTGTTTTAAAGATGCTGATGATCCTAAGGAAATACGGATTATCCAAAAAAGTATAGATGGTCCAGAGCAGATGAAGTGCCTCCCAGTAAGATTCCGACAGTTTGGTCAAGGTGACTGCTCAGAAATAGCAGGTGACAAAAATAATACAAAGGAATCCGCTTCTGAAGAAGCCACCTATCTGTTATTTCACGATAAAATGCCTTTGTTAGCACTTTCTTCTTCTTCTTGCACAACTAACACAAGCTCCCTTCCATTAGTAAGCCAAATAGACTGCAAAGACACATCTTGGAATCGGGAATGTCATCAGCCTTTGAAGGAGAATGCTAGTATTGACAATCTGACAAACTTTGGCAAAGCTTTTGAACAAATGTCTCCTAAAGTCGAAGAGCAAGTGTTGTCTTCTGCAGTGGGAATTTCAAAACACAAAAGTCACACAAGTGATAAAAATCTAAGCTGTCCTACAGGCAGCACAACATTTATACTCGATGCCTCAATTGAAAGTGGAAAAACAGTTTGTCCCGCTCATTTGACAAGTGCAAGGAGTACATTAAGTGCAATGGGATTGAACATCTCCAGCTCAAGAAAAGTAGAAAAAGATAGAAAAGATAAAAGCCTGTCCAAACAAGGCTTAAAGGAGACACTACTGGAAGATCTGGGTCCAGAATCAACCAAAACTTTAAATATAGGCGGTCTCGTTAAAATTTGTGATTCTCACATTACATCAGAAAGTCCGTTTTCTTGGGAGTCAGAATGTCGGATAATACCCAAAAAATCACAATCTGGTATGCCTGATGCTTCTGAAATTTTGGAAGAGAGATGGCAACTACCTCTACTTGAAGATCAAGCAGATGGGAATTGGAACATGAGGATTTCTTCTGGACCAGATGATAGTTTGAGTTCAAAAAAGGAGACTGCTCCAGTGCCAGGAAAAATCAGCGAGGCTGGAGGTCAGCCCCAAACAAAAGGCTTCTTGTTGTCAAAAGCTGATGCTGTGAAAAAGAACATAGCAGCAGCTCCATTCAGAAAGAAAGACAACATTAGTTGAACTCAAAATATAAATCAAGAAACCTTTTTTTGTAGATTTGTGTTTCATATTCTCGCTTTTTTCATTGCAATTCTATTTTTGTACACAGCATTTGCCATTTGATCCCTCTTTACAGAGTATCTTTAAAGCAAAATCACCCCTCCTTTTCCTTTTAATTTGGAGCATCTTGTGCATTAACTTTTGAGTGTTTTTCTCCCCCCCCCTCAAAATGTCAGTGTGTTTTATTTACCATATAAGGCTGCTTGCTCGACAAAGGTACATTTTGACACTAGCTCCAAGTGTTTGTCCTTATTTGCAGACTTTAATTTCATTATGTTGATAGGGATGAAGAAATACAATTTATGGATTCTTCTACAATTCTTAATGCCACTGCACACCCTTTTTCTTGCATAGTTGTGTTATCTCACAACTTTCTGTGGAGGAAGCTTTGTTAGCTTATGCAGTGATTAGTATCTTTTTTAAAGGGGCTCGCCTGAGCAATCTGTCAAAATAAATTTTGGTTTTTATCCATTTTTTCATTGCCTTAAAAATAGTATGACACTCCATCATTGGGGAATTTTTAATGCTAGTTGCCTTACCAATATTACCTTGCTCTGAGCAAGCAAATATTTAATAAGAGGTACAAGGTACTTCCATTACTGTAGCTCTAAGTTATTAGCAGCTCCCTAGCACAGACACTGCTGGAGACTGTGAACATCTGAGACCATCCCACCTTAACCTGCAGTTTGTGGCTTGGTAGCAGAAGGAGTTAACAGCAGGAAAATTCTAATTGGATGGGAACAACTGATAGGAAGGTACTGTGTTTATTGGTTAGGGAAGGGCAGAGATGAACCACTAAAAGCAAAGTAGCCTTTATAGCTTCAGTGAGTAACTGTTCAGGAAAAATCTCCAGTATCATGCTAATGAACTATATTTTAGTTGCTTGATTTACCTACATTTCCAAAATGCCTATGCTTTCTTAGAATCCTTTTGATACTTTTTGAGATTGCAGCATTGTTTGGTGCTTTTTTTAAAAAAAATACAGCTAAATCTAGAACACTGCACTGATAATATACATACAGTAAAGCAATAGAACATTTCAAGATTATTACTTATTATCGTTTAAAGGCAAAAGAAGGTATTTCAACCCCCTGCAAAATACTTGTGAATTTAACTCATAGTCTCTTGTAACAGAATATATCTGTATGTGTGAACAGACAAAATAACTACTTTTATAGTCTGAAAGCCTACATATGCTGAAGTGATCACATGGTGTATGAAATAATTCTCAAGGGCAAACCTTGTAGTTAATTATAATATAGCTTCATTATTCTGCCATATTGCAGATATCAACTCTCTTCCTGCACCATTTCTGTTTTCCAAGTCAATATTTACTTTTTTAACGGGGAACATTCTGTTTAAACTCTATTAACTTCATCATCACATTTCAGGTATTCTTGTACTCCCCCACACACAAATAATATTTAGTACATAATTTTTTATCCTGGATTTTATTTTTGGACCAATTTATTTTTAAGCTGGTATTGTTTTAACATTAACCACTCTTAAGTGCATGATGTGTGCTTGAATGTGTGCAAAAGAAGAAACGCCCTCTGTATGTGGCAGTGCTATAAAATCCATTGACTTTTTCATATATTAACTTGAAGCTTCTGAATTTCTCCAGTAATATTACTCATAACAATCTCATGAGATATGATTATCTGGTCTGTCCTGCCACTTATGCATATAACCTTATGCACTGTCCTTCAGGCCTATTTTAATTATCCTTTGTGTTTTACAATCCTGTCACTTTGCTGCACCGCTCTCTAATAGACAAATAAGAAAAAAGGGATTGTTGCTAATATGAGCTGATGACTTAGCCACTTAGAACTTGAATAATGTAAACAAACAATTTACAATTTACACTATATTAATTTGAGGCCTGGGTCAGATAGTGTACTTCGTAGTATTAGTATACACAAAAACAGCCAAAGGATTTGCATCTCTAGTTTAGTCTATATAGGCTAGCATGTGTATGTCTTATCACTTAGGTATTTTACCTTTTGATATGCCTTTTTTACTATAACCAGGAAACCTCTTAAAGGCTGCAGAAGTCTTTTACTTTCACCACTACTTTTCCAGCTATGGATCTATATTAATAACATTAGAGATAAAAAGAAAGGAAGTTTCATTTAGGCCCCATAGCAGGAAGGGGGTGGTGGTGGAGGGAATTGTGACAATCACGATGCCACAGAGGGTAAAATTCAACATCTTAAAAGCCCTGGAAGAATCAAGCCTGCAGCAAGTGGCATGTAATGGATGAATAGAAACTATTGAGGGGAAGAGATTCTATTTGTGATCCAGTTAAACCATATGGTGATGACCTGGTTGGCCAAATTTCCATGTTTTATTAATATGATTTTAATAATTCTATTTTAGACATAGGATACATGAAATAGCCATCCTAATACACTGTTTGTCAAGTTCCTCTTTGTTTGAATATCTACAGATCACTTTTTTTTCCCTCAGCCAAACTTAAAAGTTTTCATATCCAGCTGATGTATTTGACAATACTTCACAGAATCATCAGAAGGATATTTAGTGTACATATTAGACTTTTAGCCTTGCTAAAAAACCACTTCTGGGGAACGATGCCTAAGGTTTTGTGGTAATGGTTATGCTACAAGAACGCTCACCATACAACAGGGTACGAGGAATGACTTGTGAGTTTTTTTCCTCATTCGCACTGAATTAAGATGTGATTTGGAATTTTTTGTTTGTTATTTCCTGTGGGGGGAAGATACATTCTTTCTCCAGTTCTGTCTTATGGACATGAAGGATAATGCCGTACTTCTAGTAGATGATTTTACAACTCTGTGTGTGTTTACACTGTGTGTTGATTTTGGTTGTTTTGGAGGATGTGAACACAGTTCCATGCTGAGTTATGTTTTCAAGCTTGAAGTCTGACAAGCAGAGGGTGATGTGGAATAGAACTGTTTTAGAAACTTGAATAATTGCCACATAATATAGGTGCAATAATTTTTATCCATGTTGTACCTGCATGTTGATGTTCAAATATTCTGAAATACACTTCATTTTTTACATAAACCCGTGTTCATTTCTTGACTGAACTATCTTTCTTCAAGTATTTTCCTATAAAATATTGCAATAACATAACCAACAATTATCTTGTGAGCACTTTGACAAAATTGATATTCACAGGCCAAGATTTTATCAACTGGTAAGTTACCACAATGTGTATAGCAGTTGTGTTTACATGGCTCAGATTACTTTGGCCTTAATATGCAGCCATCCATGCTAAATTTTATTTATGATTTAGGGGTAACATTTCTAAGGACAACCGCTTCTATCAACAATTGCCACATGCCAAAACTTTTTGCCTCTTTTTCCACATTATGAAGCAGATAATCCTACTCTTCAAATATTCTTAACTTTGTTAATTCTTCTTTTTGTCAGTTCTTTACCTTACTTCTTGGTGCTGCTGCTTTGCACGTTCCATAGTCCCAACTGCCCAACTCATGATGGGATGAGAGAGAGAGAGAGCAGTTGATCATAAAGGAAAGGCAACCATTAGATGGCAGCTAAAACAAGAAAGAATTACACTCATGGTATGCTGTCATCTAGGGGTTGTGCAGACTTGTGCACCCATTTTTGGCAACTTGTGTTAAGCTATTTTGACATGTCTTTAGTTTATCAATGACAAAGTGATGCTAGCTCATGAAATGGGCCTGTTGTTACGAGATTTTGAAAACAAAGATATTAATATTGCTTGGATCAGCTGTAGCATTTCAAAAAATATCTGACCATTGAAATCCCCCGCTGTATTCTCATTTAATATGAGGTTATTTCATGTATTTTTCTAGACCTCTTTGGGCTGACTTTATTTTATTTATTTATTTATTTTATTTATTGAATTTTTACCCCGCCCTTCTCCTTGCGGACTCAGGGCGGCTAACAGCCTAATAAAAACAAATACAAAAAATACCAAAATACTATCATTAAAAACATAGTTAAAATGAAATATTAGATTGGCCTTTGTTATTTTAAAATTATTTTTAAAACCCCGCTAAAAATTACCCCTTAGGCCAGTCCTGCTAGTTGAAATAGCCATGTCTTAAGGCCGCGGCGGAAGGAAGGGAGATCCGGGATCACCCGGATCTCTGGGGGTAGTTCGTTCCAGAGGGTGGGAGCTCCCACCGAGAAGGCCCTCCCCCTGGGGGTCGCCAGCCGGCACTGTCTGGCTGACGGCACCCTGAGGAGACCCACTCTGTGGGAGCGTACCGGCCGATGGGAGGTAATCTGAGGCAGAAGGCGGTCTCGNGGTCCGATGCCATGGAGCGCTTTGAAGGTGATAATCAACACCTTGAAGCGCACCCGGAAAGCCACCGGCAGCCAGTGCAGCTCGCGCAGCAACGGTGTTACATGGGAGCGACGAGTCCCTCCCAACACCGCCCGCGCGGCTGCATTCTGGACTAACTGGAGCCTCCGAGTGCTCCTCAAGGGGAGCCCCATGTAGAGAGGATAACATTGAGGATAACATTGGCTGTGTTTATTTATCTGCCACTTTCACATTTGGGGACTGGCTGAGTTTGACTCACATTTATGCCTTGTGGCCAGGAAAGACAATAAAATGTGGGCCAGTCAGGTTTAACATGGAATATAGACAGCAATAAGCAACCTGATGCCACAGATCTCGTGAACCCATCTCGGATGGTGGTGCAGCTCCATAGTTAAATATTTTATATTTAATGTAATCACTCCCACGTTTACCCAAATTATACCTGCAAGGCTTAGAAAAGCCATGAATTGACTTGAGTTTATGTTCTTAAGATGTATGAGCAATTTGAAGATTTAATTTCTAAAACATGAATTGTCCATAGATTATGAGGGAAAGGCATTAAACAGCTGCAACCAATTCACTTTCTTGGCTGAGTAGGATGAAAATTGCAGGGTAGGTTGGCCATTAGAGGATGTCTATCCTGTCAGATTTTTAGCTGGATTTCTTCAAAACCTGCACCACAATAATTTTTTAAAAATTATTCTGTCTATGTTAACTACTTGCATAATATTGCCCAGATGTTAATTCTGGATATACAGATGTTGATACTTCAAATTGCAGTAGGCCAGCTTCCCATTTAATGTTTATAATTAAATTCTTTTAAAATGAGCAGCAGTGAGTCTTGTAGTTACCAATGGTCATCTTCAGCAGCACCACATGATTTAAAAGCCTGCAGGAAACATGAGCCATTTCAATTTTTCCTAGGACCAAGTATTTTTGAGCAGCCTTTGAAATATAATACCAAAAACTGCAATCTGTGAGAAGGTATGGAGATGGCAAATGCAGGTGGTCCTCAGCTTAACGTCACCATTTGTTTAACAACCATTTGAACTTAAGAAACTGCTAAAAATTGTGACATAGTTTGGGTTTTCACAGAAGAATTGCACAAAGTGTTCCTGGAAATGGCTTTAATGGATAGATATTTGTGTGCACGTTTTCCACACATCAGGAATAATGCAAGCGACTAGTGTGAATCTGTAAGATCTCTGCCATCTTTATGTGCTGTTAATATATGATTGTAATATTGAAAAAGTAAAATAACCTGCAATCAAATCATTAATTGTAATAAAAGAAACAATTCTGTATCCTTGCAGAAGAGGGCAGCATTGTCTCATGGAAGTAAGAGTTAAGGCTAGAAGATTTAAAATCCAGCTGGCCCATTTCATTTATTAGGCCTAACCAAAATGCCACAAAACAGTGTTCAAACTTAAGAGTTTTGCAGGACTTGATTGGTCCAGGAACAAAAAGCATGCATTGGTTCAGTCCTCCTAAAACAAAAAACTTATTTTCATCTGCATCGTTTGAATTTTCAACCACCTGATGAAACACTGCAAACTCTGGAAGTCTATCCAGGAAAATCTGAAACATACAAGAGTGAATAAGTTTTTTTTAAAAAGAGTAGTTTATATATGATTTATTAAATTATACCGCCACATGGAAGACTGAGACTCCTTTTGCTAGGGAGATACAGAATTTCAGAAAGAAAATGAGGATGAGGGGGGAAATGTAAGAAAGATTTTAACCCCTGCCATTCTGAACTGTGTCCTTTCAACTGCTTCTTTGTCATTTGGTGTGCAATGGTTCATACTTGAAGGAATGCAATATTAAGAGAGAAGAAAAGATTGCCAATACCCTATTTTACGTGTAGGCTAACTTAAAATATAATAGCAATAGAAACAGCACTTAGACTTATGTACCACTTCACAATGCTTTGCAGCTCTCTCTAAGTGGTTTACAGAGTCAGCATATTGCCCCCAACAACCTGGGACCTCATCTTACCGACCTCAAAAGATGGAAGGCTAAGTCAACCTTGAGCCAGTCAGGATCGAACTCCTGGCACTTGGCAGAATTAGCCTGCAATACTGCTTCCTAACCACTGTGCCAGCACAGCTCCTAATCATAAGCAGATAGCCATGCTTATTTTTAGAAACATAATTCGACAAATAATTAAGAAATCCTGGGGAGAAAAACCCTGCTACCCGATTCTTTTATTTCTCTGTCTTACTTGAAACATCTTACTTTAAATATATCTGGTTCTCAAATAGGGATTTTTGTAAATACAGGTAGTCCTCAACTTACAACTGTTCGTTTAGTGACTGTTCGAAGTTAGAATGGCAGTGAAAAAAGTGACTTATGACCCCTTTTCACACTTAGATGCTTGGCAACTGGCTCAAAAGTATGACAGTTGCAGTCATAATGATCACCTTTTGCAACCTTCTGACAAGCAAAGTCAAAGGGGAAGCCAGATTCACTTAACAACCTTGTTACTTATTTAACAACTGCAGTAATTCACTTAACAACTGTGGCAAGAAAAATCATAAAATGAGGGCAAAACTTACTAAAACTATGTCTCACGTAATAACAAATTTTGGCTCAATTGTTGTAAGTCGAGTACTACTACCTGTATTTCAGAATGCTCTGACTTCCAATTTGAAGTCATTCTTGTGCTCCATTTTGAATGGATGATATTAACTTCAGCCATATAAAAAGTACCAAAATACTATAGAATAATTACAAGCTATTTTGCCAGAAAACTTTGTTCTTTGGTCTAGTGCAAGGGTTTTCAAACTTGGCCCTTTTAGGACTTGTGGATTTCAACTCCCAGAATTCCTCAGCCAGCAATACTGGCTGAGGAATTCTGGGAGTTGAAGTCCACAAGTCCTCAAAGGGCCAAGTTTGAATACCCCTGGTCTAGTGATTAAAGTACTGGCCTAGAAACCATGAGACTATGAGTTCTAGTCCTGCCTTAGGCATGTAAACCAACTAGGTGACATTGGGTCAGTCACTCTATCAGCCTAACCCACCTCACAGGATGGTTGTGAGGAAAATAGAAGGAGGAAGGAAAATACATTAACTCGGTGACTTGAATTATTTATAAACAATAATAAAGGCAGGATAAAAAATAATACGGACTAGGTTGGTGTTTCATAATATGATTTCTTTACTTCATCTTCATCTTTTTTTTTGCAGAAAAGTTAATTCTGGCTATACAGTACTGCATGAAAGTCAGACAGTAATTGGAAAAGGTGTCTGTCTTCCAATAGTGGATTTGATAAAGAATCTAGTGATACATTTAACCAACTGGTTAACCAATGGCTTCACTGGAATTGTGGCAAACTATAGGAGAGAAGGAATTCTCTTATGTCACCTCTTCTGTGATAGTATCTAGAATGAACAGACTTGTACTATATTAATTTATATATCTAGCCCCCTTCCCCCAGTGTATTGATACTTCTCTGCTTGCTCTGATTTAGCCTGCACTATTTTCTTTCAACTCACTTCAGACTATAACTTTGTAGAACAGGGGTCTTCAAACTTGGCCCTTTTATGACTTGTGGACTTCAACTACCAGAATTCCTCAGCCAGGCTGAGGAATTCTGGGAGTTTATGTCCACAAGTCATAAAAGGGCCAAGTTTGAAGACCCCTGTTGTAGAATTTGTCACAATATTGTCTCCCCACCCTCAGGGTTACCTGCTGCAGTGCTGAAGCTATCATGGTTGAAATACTGGGTCCAGCCATCTTGCAGTA